TATATCATATTATAATTATTGATATAATTAATTGATAAGCAGCTAAATGTGCTTAAAGTTGCCACTGTACATACAGTGTATGTGCATACATACATGTGCCACATACAGTTGTTATGTCAAATTCTCATCACATCCTTGTTTTACTTAACAAGGCAGACCTGGAATAAGTAAAAAGTAAACCCAGAAAATTCCTCTCTGATCTTCCAGTAATCTATGCCATGGAGACTTAAGCCAAAGGTGCCCTATTTGTGTTTATTAACCCTTAATGGATTCTTTTCTCATCAAATTTAGCCTACAAGTTTCTAACATATACCAACTTCTAATGTATTCAACACTTTCAGCTTTGTTTCTGCATGGTGTGAAAGAGAACATCTTCTTGTCTGTCCTGAATCCTGCATGGGGTGGTTTCATTTGATACCATCTTGCATTGGAAGAGAAGCGTCAGTGTTCGCACCTTATGCATCTTCTTTCTATTCCTGATTTTGTAGTCTTGTGTCTGGCTTGCAGGCCAAGCAGACCTAGTTTGGTGTTTCTTGCACCAAACTTGTTTCACACTTCGGATCATCTTACTTGACTTTCTCTTCTCCCTTTTTCATTTCTTTCATATCTCTTTTTAAAATGGGAAGAATGGAACTGCATAGTGTTCATTGTAGTGTGCCTCAGGAGTTAATAAAATCTATGATTTATGAAGATGCTCTGTCCTCCCTTCCTCTCCTAGTAATTTCTAGCCTTCTATTTACTTTCTAAACTAACTTATCTGATGTTTTTATAGCGTTATTCTAACCCCAAGATCTTGTTTCTGCATTATGTTAGTTCTGAGTCCATCTGTTTATGAGTATGGTGAACAGTACAGGCCCCAAGGATACTTTTAACTCTTCAAAAGGAAATTGCTAGATGAGCAGCTGTAGAATTTGGGATGTGAGACAGTTAACAAATGCTCTAGTGTGTATGAACTGTGTGGTTTTGTGCACGTGATTATGTCTGCATGTTTCACAAGGCAATTTTAATTCAAAAATATTACATTCATATAAAGCATGAAAAAAAAATATCTGTTACAGATAGAGCGTGCATTCTATTGAGTATTCCAATGAAGTAAGCTACCAATGAGAATAGGATGACATTTTGCCAAAATAAGTCTTGCATTTTTTCTTAATAGCAAGTATCTCCCCCTCCTCTCCTAAACAGAAACAGTTTAGTGGCAGGAAAAACTGATATTACAGAATGAAAAATGGGAGCGGCAATGCACTGGAGACTTTAGGCTTACAACTTGTTTAATGAATGGGAAAACACAGGGAGGTTAAGTAGTAGGAGTGATGAAAAATTTATTGAACTCCCTTTATCAGGAAAGATTAATAGAATAGAATCAGGAGGCCTGGTAGATTTTGAATGAACTAGACTTAAAGTACTCAATCTTCAAGTACTATTTCAGTGAAAATTTCACCATTTTCAAAGAAAGAGGCAAACAGATCTAAACATTCTCTGTTCCTTTGAGACTGGGAAAGGATTTGTATGAAGGAATATTGGATGTGAGTTGAAGATGCTGCTAACAAGACTGGGACTCGAAAGGTTTAAATTTTTGTGGTGTGAAAAAAGCTGAGCAAAGATTGTGTTTCCCGCTCCGTCACCCATCAGAAAGACCTGTATTGATCACATGCACGTGCCAACAGTTCTCAAAGATGTTTTTGTTTTTGTTTTAAATTGTTCTTCTCTATTATTTGAATAGTTTATATCCTTCCCTATAGATACTTCTTCTTTTGATTTTCAAACTGGGACTAGTGCTGCTTTTCCATATTGCACGAGAACTCCAGAATAAGCCCCATCATAAGTTGCCTTCTCATAGCTCAGTTCCTTGTGTGCTTCCTTTGTTACTTGCTTGTCCCTTGCCCCTATTTGATGATTGATTTACGTTTTTAACTCAGCCTCAAAATGCCTGTGCCTCCTCCACTCAGAGCCAGACTTTATCTTCCCTTTATGGTTGGACTCCATGTGGGCTTTATCATTATATTGTTCTTGTAAGCTTTCCACAAAGGGAGATTTTGTTCCACTGTAAGGTCTTACATTGTTGTTCTAATTGGTATGGCTGACTTGATAATATCCCAAGGTTCAGGGTCATACAGCACTAAGCACATTGCAGAAATGTGCAGTAATGACAAAAAATGGTTTCTGTTGCAGTTATTACAGCCTTTTGACAGTAGGTCTCCCACATTAGATTCTGAGGTTGCAATTATCTTTCCTTTTCCTTCCTCTGTTTATCTACTTAGATGGCATTCTTTATTGCTGTGTAAGCTCATCTTATAATGGGAACTTGTTTGGATTTTTTTTATGTAATAGTGAAGATCACAAGCTCAATAATAGGATGATGTTTAATTAAAATAATAGGTGAACTTGAGCAAAGCTTTCTTGGATAGTTTTTGAGAGCTACTTCTGTGATCCGTCTGGCCCACCCTGATCATTAAGTTATCATTGGTCGTTTACAGAACAGTTGTCTGCTAGAGTTTAGGACATACTTTGAAGTTTGTGCTGTAAAGAAATATTTATTTATTCCCAATTACTGAATTCCTTTTGTGGGACTAAGGCAACTATACAGTGTCACTAGTCTAGAGTCCTGTGTAAGCCCAACTGATCTGAATTTTAGGAAGGACACTAAGCTTTTAAAAATAGTTTTTCTCTCCAACTTCAATATATAGGAAGAAGTCTTCAGAAAATAAACCAAGGGTTAGTGCTACCTGGGTCTATCAACAGCAGCTGCTGATTGGCTGAAGCCATGTGTGTGCGATACATATGTTCAAGGAAATGAATTCATTATATTCTTGTGTGTCTCTAGGAATCCGGAAAGACCGCAGAGGTGGGCGAATGATAAAACCAAAACGTCAAAAAGAGGAGCCGGATTGCAAGAGTGAGGAGGCTTCTACGGAGCTGCGAGCTCCCACCCTTTGGACAAGTCCACTGGTGGTTAAACATAACAAGAAGAGCAGTCCGGCCCTGTCCCTGACAGCAGAGCAGATGGTCAGTGCCTTGCTGGAAGCTGAGCCACCCATAGTTTATTCTGAATATGACCCAAACAGACCATTCAACGAAGCCTCTATGATGACCCTGTTGACCAACCTTGCAGACAGGGAATTAGTGCACATGATCAACTGGGCAAAGAGAGTTCCAGGTAAGGAAAAAAAGCCCCAGTGGACTATAAAAGCTTCTACATGACAAACCAATAGAAAAAAGACATACAGGTTTTCACGCTATGTATTCTAATTTTATGCAAATTGTTCACTTAAGTATAAATACATAACAAGTCACAAGGTTTATGGTATATTGGTCGGTAAAAACTATAGTGCAATGTGAGTGACTTTTGAGGAAAGATTTATTCAAGAAAAGATATTTACCCACACTATAGAATGTTGGACAGTTCTTTGATTGCAAATCCCTTTTTCAGATAAAAAACACAAAAATTAAAGGTAAAAACAGATTACCAAAACACAAATCTAATCTATTTGATCCAATCAAATAATGTTAATTGTTTAGATCCCTTTTGAAAAAAGGATTGCTCTCATGTCTGTAATGTAAGCAGTATACTCAGCATCACTACTGACCACGTAAGTATTAGTGCTATTTATTTAATTGCCAGTTTACCTTTTGACCATAAACTACAGATCTTCCATGAGTTTTGTGTCTAAGAAACAGAGCCAGAATAGCAATTTTTGTATGAAAATTTTTTCCTACTGGAACTAGATGTTTTTCTCTTTATCATTTTGGTGCATCATCATTGCTGAGCTATGACCCCTCTTTTCTGGAAGGGAATTACAGAATTGTGGAAAGTATGTAACATTTTTTGTCGAACCTATGTTCACATTCATTCATGTGGTTTAATTCATTTATATCAATGAAGTGAGAGAGTAGTTTTGTAATTAAAGTTCATCATCTTTTAAAATTTCAGTCTACAAGACTACTCTTCATAAGTTAAATAAGTTAAAATTTAAATGTGTCTTAGAAATTTATTGCACGTGCTGTACTTTTAGCTTTGTAAAAATACCCGCATACACAGTAATTTATACTTTATAATTCACTGGGATTCTGATCTCTTAAATTTTTACTGTAGCCATTTATTTCATTAAAATTATGTAGCTACTTTATGAAGGAATGTCAGAGAACACTACCACAGCTCTTACTCACATGGTGCATTACCTCAACAGCATTACACCCGGGTTATACCATTTTTCTGTTTTCCTTCATTTAAACTTGGCAGGACTCTTCCTGGTAAATCAATAACCCATAAAATCTGAGTCTTTTCCAATCCTCATGGGTTCCCTTTTTACCACTTTTCACATGTCACTTTGTGGGCTCCAGCTATGATCAATGAGAACCTGTGTGTGTTTCATTTCTCATCGTATCTTATAAGAAATCACCTGAGAATTTTATTCTTGACAAAGTCACAGTGGTTAAAGCCTGATCCGTGGTCTGTTGAAGTCAAGGGCAGGTTCTCCTGTTAATTTGGGAATGCTTTGGATCATGCCTTTACAAAAGGCTTTTGCAAAATGAACATACTTCCATAGTATTTAAACCTTTCACTATCAAAACAGCTAAATTCAAATGACTTTTCTACTGATTTTAGAGATACAATTAGTCTAAGTCTGTTAAAATCCAATAATTTGCATTCAACGTGAATATACCACATTCTAAATTCATTATGTTGTTCAGCTGGAAACAGTTGTCTTTTTTATGACATTTGATTTTGAGAGTTAATATAATTAATGAAAATGTGTTTAGATACAAAACAACACTGTTAGGGAACTCAGATCTGGTTTTTTTATTCACAAATCTCTCTAAAACTGCTTGTCATCGGATGATTACATTAGGTGAAGATCAAAAAACTGCCTGATTTACTGAATATATCCTTTATTTCCTAAGCAGCTTCTGAAATTGGAAAATCAAATGTATAAGATTATCAACTATTTGTGTATATCTAATGTATTTTACATTTAAATAAGTGTACCTCTTAATTGCTAAAATAGCTCCTGAGGAGAAAGTAAGCTAAATGACTGCATGTATATGCATTAATAAGTGCTCTAACAGGTGAAGTTTGATATAAAACTGGTGAACTTTGGTTAAAAAAACCCCAAACCCAAATTCCTTCACAGTCATAATTTGATCTATTAGGCACTGTACAAATAATACCAAAGGAAAGTCCTAAAGCAGGAGAGGTAGAATATGAATAGTTTGTGGATTCTGAAAGTGCTGGACACTTAGCTGGTTCTTGGTGTTGGGGCTTGGAGGCCAGTATGCATGACCCAAAGCAGAAATTAAAGTATCTTAGAAAGTCGATTTAAAAGAATTCAGGCCCAATTGTTTACCTACCTCTAAAATTGAGTCCACTGAGAGTAGGTTTTTTGGAGCTAGGTGCTTAAATCTTTTTTTTTAATTATTTCTCATTTGGTTCCTAGAAAAGATTGAGTGTTCTTATTGCTGATATTAAATCTTAGAAGTACAGATCACCTTTCAAAGGTAGGGCCTCTGCTTGGACTGTTTGCCTGTTTCCTTCAGCTGGAATGTACTGGCAATAAATGTACTTTAAGATAAATGTGTCTGGCAATAGAAGTTGTATTTTCACCTCCTCAGCATGTTGCCTTTGAATACTCCATTATTACTAGGAATTATGCCATACTGCTTAATTAGAGAGGATTTCCACATATGTTATGCATAAACAGAGGAATTGAATAATCTTTTTCTAAAAAGCGCACGTGCTTTTTACCAGTAGAAAAAAGCAGTTGCAGGAAACAGCCTCTCCTATGCACACCTCTCGAGCCTTGGAAGCATTGCACAAGTTCATTTAGCTAAATGCAGGCACTTAGCTGATGGAGAGAAAGCAAGGGACAAAGTCAATATGAGTGGCTGGGTTGAACGCATATTTGTTGAGGAAGGAAGAAATTGATATTAACAGAGCAGAAATGCAATGAAGATACAGCTTACAAATAAGTATAAGGACTTTCAGGGACATGTCTGTAGTTTATTTTGCTGTGTGGACTTTAGAGGGAGTGTGTCAAAGCAACTAGTAAAGACATTGTTCTGGCCAGCCAGTCTTTCTGGTGATGTAAACAGGTGGGCAGAAAGGAGTAATGAAAATTAATTTATGATGGGCTGTGTAGTATAATGTAGGCAGATATTTGTTATAAAGACATGCTGAGGACAATCTCCAAAATGAGGTGAGTCATCTTTGCAGACATGCTCTGATTGGGAAAGTGAGAAGTGGTCTACATCTTTATTGCAACTTATTCAGCATTAGTTCAAACTTGCTTAAATTGACTCTGCAGACTTGGTGGTGTTAAAAATTGCTGGGGACAAAGAGAACCTGTGGCAGCTTCTTGTGCATAACCTCAAAAAATAGTCTTCAATATTTAATCAGAACATGATTGTTAACTGAGGTCATAACAAAGCTCTCCCATGACAATGCAATTCACAATATGCCAAGTGCATAAAAGCTTGTTTTAATTTTCTTTTGAAACCTTGGCCACTGATACAGGTGGATTTGCCAGATTACATGGACAAAAATCTTGTACAGTGTCCTATGACGTATACAAAAAATTCAGGATGCCCCACAGGACTTGCTCATAACATGGCCTAACGTGGATTTTGGCTTAAGTCCTCCCAGATGGCCTCTGTAAGACACCAGTGGTGCCTTCTGATTACCCCGGCCGGCTGGAATAGCAAGCAGCTGCACATAGGGCGGGTGCAGATTGTGGTGGGCTAGACTTTACGTACACATGTAAACTGAGCCTTTTACCATTTCACCGGGACAAATCGCTAAAAATCACACATCAGCAAGGTATCAGCATAGATGAATAAATGTTCTGCTCATTTCTGAATTACATATTCCTGAAAGATATGGCTTTCTATTTTCTCCTCGGTTTACATAACATGTTGGGGAAATAATACCACCTTCAGTCTCATAGAATGAGGATTTTTAGTTTAGTGAATTTTCATCATGGTCTTTGATGCAGCGAGTGAAACTTTTACTTTTTATGTCAAAAGAATTAACGTTGTATTTCATTATTCACTTACTGTGTATATCATTTAATATCTATATTTGGAGTACTGTATTCTCTAAAGGAAGCTGGTATTTTCAATGTAATCGTCAATAATTTGTGCAGAAGCTCTGGAGATGTAAGAGACATTACAAGCTTATACAGTGAGCTCATGGTAAAGAGTATAGCTTTAAGGAAATTTTGTTGCAAGGGTGAAATCTTTGGCACTGCTGCTGCAATTTTGTATAACTATTTACTACAAGTACAGTAGCTGTACAACTTAATAGCCCTAAAATGGTACGCTGGGCATACAAGCTTTGAAGTTTTGAGATGATTCACGGTGCTGTGCTTATTTTATGGCTTCATGAACCGAGGAGATAAACATTTTGGCACTGATTTTTTTATTTCAAAGCCACAGAAGTTGCTATTTTCTTAAGATATTGTTTTCCTATTTGACCTTCTAAACTGCTCTGTTTGTTAAATTAGGAACAGTGTGTAAAGAAGCCAACAATAGCCACAATTTTACACTGCACTTCAGTGACACCAAACCTTGGAAAAAAAAAAAACCCAGTCAGCTTGCACTGGAAGGAAAGAAGTCTTATACAAGAGTGGTGTCTATTAATAACCCTTTAGGTGCAGGACAGTTTACAGAGCTTCTAAGTGTAGCGATCCTCCCGGCAATAATTTACGCTTAGCTTAAAAAAAGGAGTGGCTTGCTATTCCTGTGATAATTTTTAATAAACCTTTCAAAATATGTTCTTTATAGTCTCTTCTCCTTTGACAAATGGGCTTGCTGTGGAGGTTTGTAAAATGTTATTAAAAACCCCACCCCTCTGCTTATCTGTTTAATCTGTTGAAGTGATACTCTAACAGCTCCCCTGACTTCACAGGGGGAAAACAGAGGAAGCAAATAGATACGTAAGCAACAGAGAAATGATAACAAGCATCTGGATCTTACTTTATGGCTGCTTTTTGCATATTTAATTTCTGTGAAGTTTCAGTTCATTACCATGAGTGTAAGAGATGAGAATCAATTCTTACCGTGGAATAAGTAATCATTTACCATTTGAATTTGAACATCAGACTGAGACGTATCATGCAATGGCATGATTATGCAGGGCAACAGAGTTAAAATTGTTGAATA